AGAATTAGTGCGTGTTACTTCGCTACGTAATTGTGGTTTCGTCAAAACCGCCTCGGTTTAGTTTGTCTGGGTTTTAAGTTCGTGACAAGAGGCTTGTATTGTATTTGGCTGATTAAAGTAATTTCGTTTGAAAGTAATTGCGCAAATTATATAGTGATTGCGTGTTGAAGTGCATTTTGCAATATTTAACTTGCTCGTGTGACGTGGAATTTCGCGCGCGCGCCGAGTGGATTACGGACTAGAATTCGAACCGCGCATTCCTTTTCGAGGGCGTCTCCTGGTTGATTGTTTGGAAATCATCGTTTAATTATACCGTCGCGTTAAGAGCCTTTTGTGTGTTGACTCGGTAGCTAGTTTACGTGTCAGCTAGGTTGATTTTGAATTCTTATTGCGGCGTGGTGTTTAATATCGAACGAAGGAGCTTAGTTGCGTTTGTAACGCTGAACCGTGTGACTCATGAAGAGATCGCGTTAGTTCCCTATTTGTAATTTGGTGATAAATGAATCCGGGACATTGAATGTTGAACTTTGAACTACTGTCCGTTACTTGTGTCTGGTATCACGTGTTCGATTCTACGATGAACGTTGAATTAGGCGAGTTGAAGTTAGTTGAATGTACAATAAAGTGGATAGACTGAAATAGTGACATGAAGAAAGAAATGGCCCATTGGGGACGCCTGCTGGAGTGATGCTGCATTGTGGGGCAGCACGAAAACCGGCCGCTGCCAAGTCAGCTCGGCTGGGCCAGGTCACCCACATATACACACCACTAAACACTACTTTCCATGCATCTACTCTACCTACGGCTTGACCAAGCCTTGGGGCGGTCTTAGATTCGGATCCAGGTACGTACCATTTATTTTCCTAGCCTTCTCCCTATTTTGTAGTATGATAGGTCATTTTTCCATAAGGCCATTTGGGCCCGAACCCTCGGCTGCCCGTCGAGGAGGCTACTATGGGCCCTAGCCTAGGCGATCTTTGCAGGGGCAGCTGTGGACCGTAACGTCTAGCGAGGCGAACAGCCTTAACTATCATGATGTCCATCACTACGCCGTTATCTATTCTCTGGTGGCGGCAGGACTAGCAGCATCGTGCGTGATGTGGGTGCGTGCGAAGTGGAAACGCGCCCACGCCCCCGCTCACCCAGCTTCAGCCAGCGATCAGCGTGACATCAGTGTAAAGTGTCTGTGTTTAAAAGATGTGAAGTGTGATAGTCAGTGTATTAAAGCAGAGCAAAGTGATCATTGTGAAAGTGTGTCCGATCAAGAGAATCAAAGTGAGCCTAATCATTCGGTGCATAAAAACACTTCCCCAGTTTTATTAAAATGTAATTTTAGGAAAACTCGCTAGAAATTGTCGGCTCGTCATCTTGTAAATTAGTCGATAAGTGTTATGTCGGTCTCATCTATGTTTTAGTTTAGCTCATCTCATAATCACTTCGCCCATCTTCTCGCCCGGGAGCATGTACGGTGCAACCGCACAAATCTCCCAATCAGCATTTTTGCCTCTTATGCTTATTTTATTGTTCATCGAATAAGTTCACATAGCATCGCCACACAGCGCGTTCATGTACTCATCATTAGCTATTAGCAGTTTTTAAATATATTTTATATTTAACCTCAAGCAGCATACTTTATTTATATTATCAGCAGCAGCATCTTAGGTGTAACGTACAGTATATATTAAAACTGGTAGCAAATACGCTATCTTATTATTTATATTTTAACTCCTTTAAAATATAAACAACTGCTTCTTTTGAGCAACAAAATAATTTTACATTTAATTCGGAATCAGTTCCAAGTAATTTAAATTATATAAAATGGAAAATAGAGGTAATCTCTAGCAAAGATAGTTTAAATACCAATTCAACAATACTTAACTGTGTAATTTCACAAAATAGCAATAATAAAAAATGTATTAACCTGGTGCATCAAAATATACAAGGTATGTTAGGCAAAGAACTAGAAATTGAATTATTTTTAAATGGTTACCTTATTCAAATTTTATGTATTACTGACCATTGGTTGAAAGATTACAACTGTATATTTAATTTCAGTAATCACCAGGTGGCCAGTTCGTTCTATAGAGATACTAAATTACGGGGTGGCTCCTTAGTATTAGCTAATAAATCCTTATCATGTAAAGAACGTAAAGATATTGTGAGCCTCTCTGTTGAGCGTACTGTAGAAATGGCATGTGTTCAGCTTGAGCACCTTATTGTTGTCAGTGTTTACAGACCCCCATGTTCAAATTATGATAGCTTTGAAAAAATTATGGAAGAAGTTTTAGTTAAGCTTAATAAACAAAAAAAATCTCCTGTAGTGTGTGGAGACTTTAATATCAATCTCCTGGAAACTTCTTCCATTAGTATTAAATTTTGCTCTTTGTTCAAATCCTATAATATTGATAATTTATTCTTTGAAGCTACACGTATGCAGGGTGTAGTGCAACTTGTATTGATAATATTTTTACAGGTGTTGTACTAATCAACAAATCAATATTTCAAAAACTTAGTTCAGATCACTGTGGACAACTGGTTTCATTACCTTATATGCACAAAAAAACAGGGAATTGAGAAAATTGTGTTTGTTTCTATTAATGTAAAACGTCTGGAGAGATTTAGAAGTAATATGGTAAAGAACCTTCCATCGCTTTCTTATAATAACAATGCAGACTATTTATATAGAGAATAATTTACATTTATAAGCAATGAATTAAAAAAAAAAACATTTACTTCTAAAACATTGTCCAGAAACAGTCGCAAGGCATTTAAACAGTGGGCGACAGTAGGAAGTCATAAAAGCAGACGAAGGTTATATGACCTTTATCATGAAAGATCATATAATCCTTCCGATGCTTTTAAAGAATACTGCAAAAATTATTCTAAAATGTTTAAAAGAGTTTGCTCCACAGCCAAATCGTTACATATTAGCAACAAAATGAAGACGGCTAAGAATAAAAATAAAATGACGTGGAGTATCATTAACGGTGAAACCGGTAAAGACAAACCTCGTAACTCAAACTATCAATTAAAAATTAACAATGAATTGACTTAATCAAATCAAGAAGTCGCAGCGGTGTTAGAGAAATATTTCACTGATATTCCTATCTTGACAACAGAGTCATTGAATACTTCTGCAACTGTTGCCGAGTCATTACTCAAACAGAAAATGTAAATACCTGTTCAAAAAAATTTATATTTGAAAAAGTATTACCGCAAGATATTGTAAAATACTTCAAAACCATTGATGTAAAGAAAACTGCAGATTTGTGGGGGATTTCCGTTACAGTGATTGCGTCCATAATAGATTTAATTGCACCTCATCTTGCTACTATTTTTAATACTTGTATCGATTGTGGTGTGTTTCCTGATTTAATGAAGTATAGTAAAGTAATACCTTTATTTAAATCTAGTAGTACATTGGACCCCGATAATTTTAGACCTATTTCTGTACAACCAGCTCTCAGCAAAATTTTTAAAAAAATAATTTTGGATCAATTGTTAATTTTTTTTATACAAATAAATTACTTCATAAAACCAATTTGGTTTTACAAGAGGTCGCTCAACGTTTGTCGCCGGTGTTGAGCTTATGAAATATATTTTTAATGCCTGGGAGAATTTACAAGATGCCTTAGGTATTTTCTGTGATCTTTCCAAGGCTTTCGATTGTGTTCATCATGAGACATTAATCAGGAAACTACAACATTATTGTGTAAAAAATTTAGCGCTATGACTTATTACTTCATATTTAAGTAACAGAACTCAAAAAGTCGTGATCAATGGTAAACCTTCCTCCGGATCGGTAGTATCAATGGGCGTTTCTCAGGGTTCGATTCTTGGCCCATTCCTGTTCTAAATCTATATTTATGACTTACCTTCTCTTGTAGGGGCCATCACGATATAGTATTATTTACTGACGATACCTCTTTAATTTTCAAACTCAAACGGCAGTTAATTAATTATGACGGTGTAAATAATACTCTATCAAAATTAGTACATTGGTTTAATGCCAACAATTGCTCTTACACGGCAATAAGACAAAATGTATTAAATTTACAATACCTAATGTAAAACATTCGAATACCAATGTGCTGTTAAATGGGGAGGAGTTGAGCCTTGTGGACTGTATTTCGCGGTATTACTATTGACGCGAAACTTCGGGGCCCCCATATATCTAAATTAGCAAGCAGACTTAGTTCTGCAGCATATGCTGTAAGAAAGATTAGAAGTCTCACAGATATTGAGACAGCTAGGTTAGTGTATTTTAGTTACTTTCATAGCGTAATGTCTTATGGAATTTTGCTATGGAGTAATGCGACTGATATTGAAGCTATATTTGTTTGGCAATAGAGAGCCGTTTGGGCGATAGATATATTCAATACTCACGTCCAAAGAGTATACTTACCTGTTTAGAGAAAAAGACTGTCAAATCACACGTAGTAACTGAACATGATCCTGAATTTTTTGAAAATCTATGCTTGAAATTTTCATCCAAGAAAAATCTGATCAGAGTAGTGGCATTTTGTAGACGGTTTTTAAGATTTAAAACACCCAATGAACGAATATTAACTCGACCTTCTTTCTTAACAGCATCGGAAATCAGTGAATCTTTTAATTGCTTACTGCGCCTATCTCAACAGGAGGCCTTTGGAAAAGAAATTCAGAGCCTTAAAAAAGATGGGTGTATAAGTAAAAAGAGTGTTTTAATAACTTTGAACCCATTCATAGATAATATAGGGTTGCTGCGAGTAGGAGGAAGGATTCATCATGCTAAACTTTCCGATGACAGCAAACATTCAATAATCATTTCTTATGATTCTCAGTTAGCTAAACTTATAGTAAAAGATGCACATGAGAGTACATTACACGGAGGTCAGCAATTAACAATAAATTTTATTCGAAGTAAGTTTTGGATCCTTAGAGTAAAAAATTTGGTAAGATCGCACATTCACAACTGTATAACTTGTATCCGTTATTCTACCACGACCCAAAATCAGTTAATGGGACAGTTACCTTCAAGTCGAGTGACACCATGTAAACCTTTCCTCCGTACAGGTGTAGATTATGCAGGTCCTATTGACTTGAGAATGTCTAAAGGCCGAGGCAACAAGTGTTATAAAGGATACATTTGTCTATTTATATGTATGGTGACACGAGCAGTGCATATCGAGGCTGTCTCTGACTTTACTACTCAAGGATTTCTCGCCGCCTTTAAGCGATTTGTTGCTCGCCGTGGCCACTGTAGTGATATTTATAGCGATAATGGGACAAACTTTATTGGAGCATCAAAGGAATTAAAGCAATTATTTTCTAGAGAGAAACATTCGATGCTTAATGAGATTGCTTCTGTATTAGCAAATAATAGTACAACTTGGCATTTCATTCCTCCCCGAGCCCCTAATTTTGGCGGGTTATGGGAAGCTGCGATCAAAAGTGCAAAACATCACTTACGTCGTATTATAAATAATTCAACTCTCACATTTGAAGAGATGTCAACTGTACTCTCACAAATCGAAGCTTGTTTAAACTCAAGACCTCTTTCTCAAGCTAGTGGCGATCCCGATGATCCAGCACCATTAACTCCCGGCCATTTTTTAATAGGACAATCGCTTGTTGTTGCTCCAGATAGCAATTACGAAATTCAAAATATGAGTAGCTTACGTCGATGA